TGTAGATCAATTTGGCAGTATTGAAAATATATCTTTAAGTTAGCAAACTAAAAAGGTTAGCGCTCCCCTAGTTCTGCTTCTTGATGTCAGCATGGCCTTGGATCTCTTTGAGCCCGACTCTTGCATCTACTAACAGAAAAAAATAATGCCTACCTCAGAGGGTGCCAAATAATTAAGTGACACAATCTACATGAAAGCATTGTGATAACTATAAAGTATTATGAAAACTAGAGGTGTCATTAAATCCATTTTTGTAGGAAGTCATTAATTCTTTCTTTCAATTGAATTGTTGATGGAATTTAGATGCTATGCTCATAAACCAGTAAGTGAATCAAAATTTATATGTTAAAACAGATATTTATTGTCCCTTTCAAGCTGGTCATCTTGAGAGATTATATATTTATTCTGACAATGCTACATTCACTTGAAATATTTTTCAATTACTGTTTCACATTTGTTCTTTTTAAATTTAATAAATCTTTCACTGGATACAGACAAATATTTTTAAATGAACTAAAGCATAAAAAATACATTTATAAGGATCAAATTTATATATCAAAATATGTCTGTGTTTATATATTTGTTTAGAAGACAAGAAACTCTGGTTAAAAACAAGAACTAGAAATAATTATATAATTCTTGTCTTATGGTGATATGCTTTCCTAATCTAAGAAATCTCAGTGAATTAAAGTTACCGTATTTTATGTTAGCCATTCATACTTAAATCCCATTAAAGTTGGAGATTTCATTGCACTATGCATCACACTACTTTGAATACCCTCAGTGATGGCAAATCATCATAAATCATTGTTTTTGAAAGCAACTTGATTTGGGGGATGATCCAAAGTCATTTAGAGCCAAGTCTGATGGCTCGGTGAAGGCAGGAATTAGTCTGGGTAATGCTTTTTTTTTTTTCAAGACTGAAGTGTTACTACTAAGTAATAGTTAATTTTTTTTCTTTAATTAAACTGTCAGAATTTATGTGTTTAAATGAGAGTTGTCTTACAAAGAAATCCCTGGCTCAGGGAGTTATCTACTTGTGATCTGATGAACTGAGCAAATAATGGGATCATTAGAAGCTATACAGCCTCAGGAAGCAAGAGTGTCTTTGGCTTTCTTGGGTACAAACCAAATTTCCACTCCAGTGAATACTTAAAGGAATACCAGTTCCAGTGTGGGAAATGTTCCTGGAGCAGGCCCACCCACCTCCTATCGTGATGCCTCACCGTGTTGCAATGAAGACATAGCCCCCAGGTCCAAGTCCAGCCAGCAAGGCAGTGGGGGTGAGAGAGAGGGGCCCTAAAAGGAAATCTTAGAATTGTCAAATACAAAAAGTGGAAAGAGACTTAGGGTTTCTCTAATCTACACACATCTTATTTACAGAAAAGAAAACTGAGGCCAGGAGAGGGTAAAGTGACTTCACGTTACTAGGTTTCTGATTTCCAGTCCGCTGTTTTTTTCTACCACACTATTCACTCACTAGATATGTGCTATTCTATCATGTTTGTGAATATGTATGTTTGTTATTTATCTTTCATTATCACTCTCCCACATATAGGTTTTTTAAAACTGTTCTTTATTGAGATATATGTTACATAGCATAAAATCCACCATGTTAAAGTGTACACTTCAGTGGTTTTTAGTATATTCAGTATACTGTACAACTACCACTACTTTCTAATTCCAGAACATTTTCATCATCTCTAAAAGAAACCCATATGCTAAGTGAAATAAGCCAGTCACAAAAAGACAAATGCTGTATGATTCTCCTTATATGAGGTACTTAGAGTTGTCAAAGTGGGTGAGAAAGGACATAGAATGGTGATTGCCAAGGGCTGGGAGGAGGGGGAAAGGGGAGTTAGTGTTTAATGGGTACAGTCTCAATTCTATAAGATGAAAGAGTTATGGAGATGGATGGTAGAGATGGCTGCACATTATGAATGTATTTAATACCACTGAAGTGTATACTGTACTTAAACATTGTTGAGAGCAAATTTTACGTTATGTGCATTTTACCACAATAAATAAAAATTAGGGAAAAAATTCTGTAGGTATCTTGTGAATAGATATATATTTTTGCATTGTTTGTGCTAATAGTTTTCATTTGTTTAATGTAAACATTTATTCCATACAAATGTTAGGATAGCTTTTTTTCCATTTCTAAGAAAAATGTCAATGGAATTTTGATGGGGATTGCATCAAGTCTGTATATCACTTTGGGTAATATGGACATTTTCACAATATTAATTCTTCCAATCCAAGGGCATGGGATATCTTTCCATCTTCTTGTGTCCTCTTTAATTTCTCTCAACAGTGGTTTGTAGTTCTCATCATAGAGATTTTTCACATTCTTAGTGAACCTTATTCCTAAGTATTTTATTTTTTTGGTGGCTATTGTAAATGGGCAGTCCAAATGTCTATCATCAGATGAATGGATAAGGAAAATGTGGTATATCTACAAATGGAATACCACTCTGCTATAAAAAAGAATGAAATACTATCATTCACAGCAACATGGATGGACTTAGAGAAAATTACATTAAGTGAAATAAGCCAGGCACAGAAAGAGAAATACCACATGCTCTCACTTATTTGTGGGAGCTAAAAATAAATAAATAAACGTACAAACAAACAAATGGTGTTGGGGGGAAGAAGTCACAACAACCAGAACAATTCCTTGAACTTGTTAAGACAGGTGAACGGATATGATGTTGACGGGGGAAGGGAAGGGAGAGAGGGAGGTGGGAAAGAGGAATTGGTAAAGGGACATGAAAATCAAATACATTATATATTGATAAATTAAAATTTAAAAATTAAATTTAGTGTAAACATTTAAAATACACCAAGTATTTCCCCCCATATAGAAAAAGAAACCCATACATATTAGCAATTACTCACCATTCCTCCCTTCAGCCCCTGGCAACCACTAATCCACTTTCTGCCTTTCTGGATTTGCTTATTCTGGACATTTCATATAAATGGCTTCATACGATAAGTGGCCTTTTATGTCTGGCTTCTTTCACTTAGCACAAGGTTTTCAAGGTTCCTCCATATTGTTACATGTATCAGCACTTCATTCCTTTTTACGGCTCTGTTTCTGGGCTTTTTAAGGTGGGTTCCAGACTGAGAGATACTGAGAGACAAGAGTCTCTGTTTTCTCTTGGAGGTAGAACTTTGGCGTGCCTGGGCTGCGGAGCACACAGCACTTTTCCAGGCGGCCTCCTTGTGCGCACCTTGCCACATGGACCTAATTTTCTGCCTCTCTGTACATGCTCTCTTTCTTTCCCTCAGCTTGAGAGTCCCTCAAAACAGAGGGGCCTGCATTCAAACTCAGCAGGGATATTGTGAACCCTTGTCAAGGCTTTAGTAGTGATGTAAACTCAGAGGTGTCCCTGCACAAGTGGCTACTCTGTAATTAATCCTTTTGCTTAAGTACAGTAAGATATTGCAGAGGAGAAACTCTGCTAGACATTCTGCTCATTGCAACTGAATGTAGCCCATAATTATCAAACCTGCTGTTTTCCAGCACAGGTCACTTTGCAGCATGCTCTGCTGCACATGCAGCTTGGAACCAGAGGCAAACCAGACCCATGTAAGCTGCAGCTAAATATAATTTACTGCTCTGTTTCAGAGCTTGGGGCAGATTAGAGAGCATGAGCTGCTGTTGCTCATTTTAGCAGGAAGTTGCTGTGCTTTTCTTGTGTTATAAAATACTTCCCGAATGTGGAGGTTCTGTCACTGGGAAAGCAGTGGTACCAACGGATCCATTCTAGAAATACTGTTGTCTATCACAATACAAAGGGGTAAGGAAGATCACTTTAGTTTTTAAAGCTCAAATCTCTTAACAGGTCACACAGGCATTCAGAATTTTTGGATTTTGTATGATTTTCTTTTTTATATTTGTTACTTTCTAGAAATCCCTTTGCTACCTGACTTTCAAGATTAAATAGATTAAATGCTCAGGAACCAGGAGGTTTTTCCTCATCCAAATTCACAGATAATTTGGCTTGGTTTTTTGGACAGTTTTGGTAGGATTGAATTGTGAGTATTCGAATGTCTGAGATAGGGAGGAAGGAGATGAGCTGAAAGTGAATAGTCACTACGTGATGACCAGACACAGCCAATGGGAAAGTTCAGCATTATTTTTCTCTAGAACATGAAGTTCTACTCATGATTCTTACATGAACATAGACTGAGAAAAGCATGTCGTGTAGCATTATTTGGCTTCAAGAATTTGTTGTGATGGGATCACTAGGCACAAGTACTGCCAACCGTCCACTCTGGTGGCACCCACTGCCATTGGGCTGACATGGCAACCCTGCCCTTCCCATCCTTACTGCCTGTCTCCAAGCCTTCAATGCTCTCTTTCTTAGCCTCCTTTGTAGCTAGGAAAGGCCATGTGAAACAGTTACATGCAGAAAGCTTTTGCTTTTGTGATAAAAGGGGAAAATGTGGCCACTGTGACCCCCTTCCTCTACTCTTTCTTTCTTGAAAGTGATGTGACGTCTGGAGCTACAGCAGGCTTCTTGGGGCAGTCATCTTGTGATGATAGAGAAAGGCCAAGAGAATTGCAGAGATGTTGGACATTGCTGAGCTGCTGAGACATTGCTGAGCTGCTGAGACAACACCATTGACTGCCAACTTCCAGGCTTTATGTTGTTCGCAAAATATAAATCCCTGTTTGTTGAAGTCACTCTTAATCAGATTTTTGAATGTACTGCTAACTGATAAAATTGATTACATATCCATCCTCCCCTTTACTACTATTTACTCTAATACTTCTACCTAAATATCTACCATTTCCCTCTTTTTCTCTCTCCTGTATATTTTGGTACTGTCTAAAGTCTGTTTTTACCATTCCCACAGGTTCTTTTCATGGAAACTTCATAGAGGTTTAAGTTTTAAATTTTGGGGGAAAAGATTTACAAAATTCATTTTGAAAGAAATATATTCATGAGTAAGTTTCATTTTCAAAATCTAATGTGTTTTGCTCCATTTAGATAAAAATGTTTCCTGGGGCAGTTGCAACCCACACATGGCAGTACGAGTTGGTGTGGGAGAAGGAAACCATGACTGTGTCTGTAAGTACAAAGCCGTCGGGTGATATCAGCCTGTTTGTGCATGAAGACAATACTTTTAGAAACCCATAACCTTTAGCAACCTCAAATGCCAAAAGCAGAGTGTGAAATAACCAAAGCAGAAAAAAAAATGGAGGCTTTATTATGGATCTTCATTACACTGATACAAGGGTACTTCAAAAATGGAATTAAAAGATCATATGAATCTTTCCATGAACTTTTCAAAGTACCCTCATATACCTTTAAATTTTTAAAGAAATTTATACATTTTAGAAGAAAAAAGAAATCTATGCTTTTAAATTTTTTTAATTAACCCCTTGAACATGTGTCTGTGGTCTTTTTCGGAGAGTCTGGGTAGTTGACATTGTTTTGTGTGTTAAGGATAAGGTCTATTGTGTAATGTAGTTTATGTAGTTTCCTGTGTATTAGGACCCTTGGGGAAAAAATTTCTGTTTGATCATAGAGCCACCAATATTTGTACCTGAGCAATAGATTTATTTTTATCTCATGAATATTATAGGAGATTTAACTGTTTTTTGTTTAATTGGGTGCTCTTTTTAAAAAGTTGTCCAAAAAGTTGCACAAGTCTCATGGCATTAGTTCCCTAATAGAAAAGAATGAGTTGATCAAGTCAGATTTTCACGTGATAACCAAGAGTGACTCTGGTCAATAATATACCCTCTGCCTCCACTTGATGTTTCCTAGCATTGACTCAGGACATGTGGTGTTAACTAACATCTTGTGAGTTTTCGAGTTTTTATTTATTGTTATCACCAACTTTAAGGATTTTCACTATAATGACAATAAATACAGATTAGTGAGCATTTAGTTAAGATAAATGAACAATCCCCAAAAATACGTAATTGCTTTAATATCACAATTGACGTTTATTTTTCACTCAAGTCAAGTCTAAAATGAGTGTTTCTGATCAGCCTATAATTCTCTTCCAACCTAGATTCCTTCCAAATGGTGGAAGGCTCTTTTTACTGTCTTTCTCACGTAGCTTCCAAGATTGCCCTGCTGCTCTGCATCAAACCTGCAGAAGAGGAAAGATCACAGAGGATGGATCCTGGGGAGGTTTTAGGGGCCAGGCCACTCATATTTCATTGACCCAAACTCATTCACATGGCCACACGAACCGCAAAGGAAGCTGGGAAACGAAGTCTGGTTCTGTGCCCCAGAAGCAGAGGGAACAGGTTTGATGAAGGTCTAGTCAAACTCTGCAACAATGAAACAGATAACAAAGTAAAAGAAAAAGAGTTTTACAACCTGAAAAGGGATGGAAAATTCAATTAACAAAAAAGATAGGCTACACCCCAAGGGAGACTGCAGAATTCCATCAAATCATGTGTTAAAAAGTGAAAGAGGCTATGATAAAAATAGGATAAGGGTGAAATTTGAAAGACACTCTGGGGACACATGGCACACTATTTCCCCAGTGGCACAACCAGTAGGCAAAACCAACCCAACTATAAAAAGAAGTTCAGTGTGTTAACCTGTTGTTCAGATAGAACCATCCTGGGAAAACTCCCAGTTTTACACATGTGCATTAACTGAGAATTTGTGTCATACTTTCAAATAAGTTCAGCCTGCCTGAAATGCCTTCCTGTTTCCTGAAACCTTGACTGGTAAAAATGTCTTTGTTTCCATAGAAAAGATGTAGAAAACAGATGTTGAAGCCAATCAAACTCACAGTATTGCTACTTTTTTGTTAAGTTTTAAGAGTAAGTTTTCTAATCATTGAAATCAGTTTGTGTTTGCTATACAAGAAATTTGAAATGCTTAAGAGAATCTGACATATTAGCCTCGTGATTTTATTTTGAAGTGATAAGTTGATACTGGATTTGTGATTGTCACTTGAGAGTTGTAAAATAATTGAATATGTTCTTAAATAGTGTTTGAATGTTCAAGAGAACGTCATTTACTACATATATGCTAGTTTTATTGTAAGAGTTGATAGAGATGTAGAAAGATTTTTCTTGCTAGGTTTGTAAATGTTGTCCCATCAATCATTTAAAGTGTTTAGGAAAATCAAATTTATTAAGTATGTAAAGGTAGTTGAAAATATTTTAGGAAATTTAATTACATGTGTAAAGGTGATCGGTTGTTTGAAGAAATTTAATCTTTTTAAATTTATAAGTTACTTGAACGTTAATCAGACAATGAAAAAGCAATTGTTCTCATTTTTATATAAAAATGATTATATTTACAAATAAAATTACTAGATTTATAGGTTAAGCTTAAAGACTTTAAACTAAATTTTAAAATGTTCAACTTTAATAAATTAAATAAATAAAGTAGTTCATTTTCCTCACAAATCTCTCACTATTAAATTCTTAGCTGATAAGAGTCAGGAAGGGGAAGAAGGGAGAGTAAGACATTTAGTTTCTTTCAAGGTTTGGTATGATGCTAGAAATTGGCCCATGGTATCTGCAGGAAAAAAAAATCTTTAGACATCACAATACCATAATTTGAAAATTAAAAAAGCTACGGTGGGGTGCTGTATTATATACACACCAAACTCTCACAAAGTCAACTATATGAGTTTAGTTAAGACAAAAGAAATTAAATTTGTGTCAGTCTCCTAGGCCTCCTAAAGATTCAGGGAATTTTCAGAGTAATTTTGCCTCACAGATTGACTTTCTACTCTAACAAGAAGTAAGGCATAACTCCACCCAAAGGGCCCCTGACCGGAGCCTCCATGTTGCTGTTTTGCCCCCAGAAGGGAGGCAGGTCCTGCTGAGCCTGCTGGGAGCACTAAAGAGGCTGAGGAGGAGCAGGGTGAGGGAGACGCTGAGAGGACCCAGGAAACCCAAGACTGAGCTGCAGTCGCCAGAGGAGGGGCCTTGCCTTGGAAGCCCACCTCCCCACAAGGGGTAGGGTGTCATGGTATATTGGGGAGAGGCAGTGGGATCGACAGACAGAATCTGGCTCATTCTGGGAATTCTGTCCAGAGCAGAGCAAAGGGGAACAGTGGCAGGGTCCAGCCACAGGAAATGGATCTAACGAAGATTCAACATGGGCACCAGGGCCCAGTGTTGACAAACACTCTGGGAGTATGTCAGAGGACAAGGGAGTGGCCACACCGTGATGGGAATGTCTAGCCACTTGCTGCTGAGCTGCAGGGCCAAACAGACACTAAATTTAACCAGCACCCCCACCCAAGGGACAACAGAAGGGACAGAGAAGCCTGTGAGGAGGTGGATGCTCTTTAAGAACAGAGGGAACAGACACTGGTGTCCCGATGTGTTCACATCTGTTGCAGTAATTACCATCATCTTAACTGGGAACCAGGTACAGAAGGACAGGAGGAGCGTATGCCACATTCTGAGCTGTGGGGTGAGGACACAAGGAGTTGCTCTAAGGTAGTGAGCATTGGAGAGCCGTGTTACATGTGGGCACAGTCACATGTTGTCAGCAGTGCCTTAGCAGTGTGCAGGCAGTGGTGGGCGGGGCGGACAGTGGAGGGAGAGATGCACTATGTTGGCTAAGATGCGAAGGGCACTGGGGGAGATGGCTGCTTGACGTCACAGCCAAAGCAATGGAGCGTGGACAGTACTGCAAAGCTGTATTTCTGTTGAGTAAGGACTGAGTTTTCACAATGCTCACACATTGTTGCTTTATAATTCACCGAATTTAACAACGTCATGATGATAATGTAATCTATTTTCCTTTTAAAAACAACCCTGAAAGAGGGTTACTAAGGCAGGGTCATGAAGACCTGGACAAACCAATCCTCTCAAAGCCTTGGATAGCTTTGGCCACTTAAGTCAAATCCAGTGTTATCTAAGGGGGAGGGGATTATTCTGTCACAAGGCAATCAGCTTTAAGGCAAAATTCTAGGATGGAAGCTTCATTTAAAAATTTTTTCACTAAGATCCAGAGAATAATTTTCAGCTATTATGAAGTTACAATCTCTTATTCTTGCTTTTTTTATTTTTATGACATTATGACAGAGAAAACTAGCAAGTCCCCTATATTCATTCTTCCATTCTCCCTCAGTAACAGAATTCCTATTTTTCCAGCCGAAAATATGGACATCCAGACAACACACCTAATTTCCCAGCTTCCCTTGCTAGATGTCTTGTTGCTAAGTTCTGAATAATGAGATGGAGGCGGCCATATCACGTGGAAGCTTCTGGAACCTTTCCTTAGGAGACACCTTCTGTCTGCTCCTTGCCCTCTCTTTTCTTTGATCCTCCTCTGTCTTGCTGCCAAGGACCCGGATGGGGCCATCCTGGGCCATGAGGAGGTGGACCTAGGAATGACAGACTGGGGAGCCCAAGAGGCCTGGGACCTTGAGGACTCTGCACAGCTGCCACACCAGCCCTAGACTGCCTAACTGGACCTTCACATGAGACAGAAATAATCTCATGTTTTGTGTAAGGCTCTCTTTGAGGGATTTTCTGTTACTTGTAGTCAAAACTAATCCCCAGTAACATAGAAAATAAAATTCTGTTCTATTATCTCTCACCCACTCTATTAAAAATATTTTACAGCTCTGTCCTTGCTCATTCTTTCTTCTCCCCAGTTTGTCCCATTAGTAGTTGACAAATGATCTCTCAAAGTCCTGGCTGAATCATATCACCTCCCACCCCCTGCAACTCATGTTTGACAATCTTCAGTGCCTTCCCATTTCCCTCCAACCAAATCGCACCTCCTTATCCTGGAATGGAGGGTCTCTGCAACCTGCATCCTCCCTGCCTTTTCCAGCCCTGTCTCCCACAGCCTCTGCTTGGCTTGGACAGCCCCTCTTCTCCTGAAATGCTGAACCCCCCTCTGCCTGTCAAAGTTCGCTACTTCTTTCAAGGCCCATCTCAAATGTCACCTTTCCCATGCAGATGTTCCTCCTTTCCCCCAACAGAATGGGACCCCTCTCTCTATGCTACTCCATAGGACTGTATATCTCTCACCTGACCATTATGCTCTTCCACGCCCAGTAACTATTCTGTACTTATTGTATCCCCACGCCACACAGCAAGTTTTGTGAAAACAGAAACTGTGCCCATTCATCTGTGCAATCTCTTCTGTCCTTACAGAATTCCTGTTCAGGACAGATGCTTAACAGTTATTTGTGTAACTGAATGGCCAACGCCTCTGGGCACAAAAAGAAACCAATACAGTGAATTGTTGATCAGTTTGGTTTAGACTGTATTGCTCCATCTCTCTCATATCTTCTAGATCTTCTTGAAACGAAGCCCTTTGAGGTTGTGAGGATAATCACATAGTCTTGTATATTTGTCATCTCATATTAAATTGTAGCCCCTTGATCTCACGGACTATATTTTAAATTTATTTCTATTCCTTCCCCCTGCACATCACCACCTCAATGTCAATAGTTCCCATCTCAGTGTCATACTCACCGAATCATTTAAAATATTTGTTGAAGTAATTCATGAATAAAGTCAAGGGACCTCTTCCATGACATTGTTTACATTTTCTCTTCCACTTGCAGGGCCTGCCACTCCTGATGCTCTCGGCTTTCCTCCGCTCAGTTGCCCAAGCATCATTCGTCAGGGATCATCTCCCGCTCTTCCCAGAGCTACCAGATGTCCACTAACCAAAAAGCAGAAATAATCCAGCTTTTCTTCAGTCTCCTTATAATGAAAACATGGTGTAGTACCAAAGGGTTCAAGGTGCCACCTTCTTAAACGGCATGATCATGATATAGACAGTTTTTAGATATCTACATAAATATGACTAAATAAAAAACTGCTATGAGGAAAACAAGTATAATGCTATGAAGTCAATACTCCAAAATAAAGTTTCCATAGCCAATCAAGTTCTGTTCTTGTTTAATTTTTGTATGAGTACATCCTATTACTTTCTAAAGTGGAATTAAGGTGAATTAAGATCTATTCATCTTCGGATTTTAGGCTTGCAAATTATCCCCAGGGAACATGGAGTTGGGAATGATGCCTGGGACAGCACTGCTGACACAAGGGTCTGCAGCCAGTGGACTTCCCATGGGTAATGCCGAATGGAAGGATTTCTTTTCCAAAGGCCACACTGTTTCTTATCACATTTTTCTCCATCTATGCTCTCTGGTAGGCCTCTTCGATGGTGTCTTGTCTGATTAAAACATACTCAGTGGGTGAGCATCTGCAGAAGTACATAGTCACATGACTTAAGCTACTTTGATCTAGTTTTTCACAGTTCACATTTTATAGCTGACACCAAATCTACTTCTTAATTTCATTCTTCCTCCCAACCTAACCAAGAGTCCTTTGCCTCATGAAGAATAAGGTCCTACTACCTGGGGCTGAGTCATGCATACATTTTTAGGCCAGACTACACTCCACATGGCCGTGGGTATTGGAGGTCCTCTCCCAGTTTTCTGCTCACATAAATTTCCTGAACCTCACTCCCCTTTTGTGAACTTCCAGTCAGCATCCCTAATCTGTTTTTCCTCCTCTTCTATTTACACAGTTCCCGAGGTCACTCCCAGCAGTCCATTCAACCTGCATCAAATCACAGTGCTGTCAGTCAGCTCTCCTCATTTCCAAAGTTCTGTTCAGTTCAACAGACCCTTACTGACAGACTATCCCATGCCACACCCTATGCTGGGCTGTGAGGATAGAAAGATTAAAGCATAGTACCTGCTGTTGAGAAGAAGAGCTTACAGCTTCTTCTGTTAATTTTATGTACCTGATATTCCTCCAATCATTGGTCCACATGGATAGAACATTTCCTGGGTATCACCATATTTTTCAGGGATGGGGGTTAAACCAAACGGTCCCAATAATCAAGCAAGCAAAAGATGTTCAGATGAATGTCTGTCAGGGGGAAGAATGTACCTCTTCCAGTCCCGTTTTCTTACCCCATCAATTTTGTGTGCAAATTACCTGACTTGACTTTTTCTGTACATATACTACAGGAGAGATTTGGGAGAGAAGGGACTGTGTTGTGCTTTGAAACAAATGAAACTTGGGTCTGGGGCACTGAATCTTACTAGTTGGCTCCTATTGTTTCACTCCCGCAGGATTATCCAGGTATCTTGCATGAAAATCTGGTAAGTAAAAGAAGGTCCATTATTAAGAATAAAGAGCACTGGAATAAAGTATGACAGCTGTCCCAAGGAAATCTAGGCAGAGAGAATGGGAAGAAAGCTATGAAAATACAAATCTGTGAAAGGTTGTATTTGCTTTGTTTCCTCCTTACCTCCCCCGACACCCCACGCTGCCCTGGGCTTTGCTTCTTATATTTGATCTAGAGGGGATGTTTGTACCAAGGAGTTAATATTACTATTTCTCTAGATGGGCCATCTCCCCACGGGTTTCCCTTTCTGCTGGTGGCTTTCACTGAAAGTATCATCTTTCTGATCAATCTTCTGCCCTTAGTACCCACTAGGTCATATGTCCTTCCTTTTAACGTAACTTTTGCACTTTGTTACACTACAAAAGTGTCCCTCTTCTTCCTGATTTTGAGTTCATTACAAAGCCTCCTTCTACGAACTTAGCCTTTGGTGGCAGCATGCCTGACCCCTTCTACCTGGCCTTCCTCCATCAATCGCAGAAGCATGGGGGTGGGGGTGGAATCCAGGACAGTCCCCCCAAGTGAGAACTGACAGGAAAATGTTAACATTTCTTGGGCCAGATGCCATGTAATCACTTTACATGCATCATCTCATTTGTTTCTCCCAATAACCACAAGGTCACATAACTAGTAAGTGGTGGAGCCAGAACTCAAACCCAGGTAGCCTGTCCCCAGCACCCTCGCACCGTAACAAATTTGTGCATGTAACAACTTTGCGAACTCAAAGGCAGTATGCCAATGTCAAGTGTGGACAAGTTGGACCCAGAAGGGATCATTTCTCCCCAAATCTCTTTTTTGATATTTCTATTTTTGTAGGAGGTATTTCCCAAGGCCACAGAGAATGTGAAAAATGAAATCAGCTTCTTTTAAAGGAACAAATGACTCTCGGTCAGGCTGTTCCTCTCTCTGGTCAACATCCTGGCAGGAAACTTCTAATGTGCCTGCAACAAGCGCAAGAGACTTGAGAAGAAAGAAGTACTTGCCCTTGACTGTAATTTGGTTTCCTGTTTTGCTTTCCAAAATTTGCATAAATGTTTTTTGTGCTTTTAGGAAAAAATTTGTTTTGTTTTGTTTTGTTTCCGTGAGACAAGATTACTGTTGGTGAGTGATCAGCCACAAGAATTGCACAGGATCAGCTTGAGTTACCTGGATAGAAACTCCACCACCTCCTCTCTGGAGCTATTCTGTGCCCTCTCACCCATCCACTTAGAAGTACCCACTCCTTCCTTTGTGCTCCCACTCTGGTGCCCACATATTCCCGTGGCACTTTGTCAAGCTTATTTGCATGTATTCCTGTTACTCCACTAGTCTGTCAGCTCCTTGGAGGCAGGAACTGTGTCTGACTTGACTGTTTACCCCAGCATGTACATGGTGCCTGGCACATAGGAGCCACTTAATAGATGCTTATAGAGTGAATGAGCAAGCTGTGATTGCTTGAAGGATATCAGCGTCAATCGAGGACCTGCTTTGTGACAAGCACCATGCTGGGACTTGTACCCACATCTCATTTAATTCTCACAACCCTGCAGGGCAATTACCCCCATTCCCCATTTTTCAGATAAGGAAGCTCGAACTCAGGGAGTTAGGTGAATCACCCAAGGTCACAAAGGTAGTAAATACGGAGCTGGGAGTCAAGTTCAAGTGCGCTTTCCTATTACACCTCTTTACCTCCTCCCTTAAAGTGGCAGATGAAGGAAGTCAGCAGCCTAGAAGGTTTGCTGATCTTTGCAGAGACTGGCCTGTTTTTAGAAGCTGTCTTCTATTTGGTGTGGTAAGACTTACCTTTGGTCAGCTTCAGCAGGATGAGTTTATGGAGACAGTAATTGCCTTGATTTTCTGTGATCTTTCCTAGAAGAGGCAGCATGGGAGTCAAGGGGAAGGGATTCAAAACCTGGTCCTGTCACTTACCGGCTGTGTGACTCTGGCAAGGTGTTCAACAGCTCTGTATCCCTTATAGAGGGACAATCAATCTACTGCACAGAAGGATGAAAAGTAAATCAGAGATTCCAAGGAGACTAGCTGGCACACAGTGAGTGCTTTTTAAAGGGAGGTGTTTTTAATGCAAGAAGGCCTGTGATGTGCTGATGCTACTGCACTCCTGGCCCTAGCTGACCATCTCCTCTAGCTTTAACAGGCACGAGCCCTCAGGCACAGCTCTGTCTCCTCACCCTGGGGTTCCCTGTGCCTGGAGGGAAGCCTTATCCACCTGGGTGACAAAATCCTCAACAGGACACCCTCCCTCCCTGAGCTACTTTTACTTCTTGAACACTGCTGCATTGTTTGTTTGATGTCTATTTAGTGGTTGGTTAGTTGAGATCTTGGACCCTTGGCACAAGCCAGGGCTTCACAACCTAGAGTCCATAGGCTACATTTGTCCCTCCCCCTGTTTTTATATGGCCCATGAAATAAGGAGGGTTTTAACATTTTTAAACGATGTGGAAAAAATGAAAAGAAGAATATTATTTTATAACACATAAAAATTATATGAAATTCAAACTTCAGTGTTCACAAAGTTTAATTGGAGCACAGCCATGCCCATTTGTTTTCATATTGTCTGCAGCTGCTTTCCTGTTACAGTGGCAGAGATGAGTAGTGAAAACAGAGACCATATGGCCCACATCACTGAAAATATTTCCTATCTGGTCCTTTACAGAGAAAGGTTGCCAACCCCTGGTATAAGAAAATACCAGAAGGTTCATCGTTCAGAAATACCCGGTCCACCCCCTTCATCACCCCGTCCCCAAACGTAGTCTCAGGTCAGACATCCTTTTGGATTAACAAACTGCAAATACTCCCTGAGAAGTTTACAAGTGCGCACCACTCTTCACACTCTCCTTTTATCTCACTTAATCACACCTTAGACCCGCACAGGAAATGGAGGAAGGGGGAGGTAGAACGAGGCAAGGAGGGAGAAAGAAAGAGGGAAAGAAGAGAAAGAAGGAGGCAGTGAGAAGGATAAAAAAAAAAAGCAAAGTCATCAATAAATTGGTTCCAAACAAGCAAATCCATAAAAAGCCAGGGAAGGGAAAAGTGTAACAGAGGTTTATAAATACTCCTACTTTCTCTGCAATTGACACAATTATATTATCTCTTCCTCTAGAAAGCTTGACAGTTTTGATAAGATGGCAGTGAGAAGCAAGAGACAATGATTCATCAAGCAACTGTTATTGAAAAAGTTGAACAGACAGAGACAAAGACCACAAGAGTGCAAGTGTTTGCCAAAGTCAAGTCCCATTGGACTTAGTTTTTCCGAGTGTGCCTTGATACAGAGGAGAGGTTTAACCTAAACAAGACTCACAGGGGGATGTGAAAAGCCAAAAATTTTCATTTCCCAAGATAAAAAAAAAAAAAAAAATCAGAAAAGCAAAGCAGTACAAGCAAAAAAGAAGAGTAAAACACTTGCAACACTGTCTACACTCTGGCTCATTTAGCATTTGCCTGTGCTCCTGGCTCTCCCAATCCAAGGGTTCCACATTTCACATTTGGGGGAGTATATTCACAAGTTTAAAAACCAAAAATTTTCATTTCCCAAAAAAAAAAAAAAAAAAAATCAGAAAAGCAAAGCAGTACAAGCAAAAAAGAAGAGTAAAACACTTGCAACACTGTCTACACTCTGGCTCATTTAGCATTTGCCTGTGCTCCTGGCTCTCCCAATCCAAGGGTTCCACATTTCACATTTGGGGGAGTATATTCACAAGTTTATGCACACACTGTGAAGGACACCCCTATGGTTCATTGCCAATTGCC